ACTTCACTGTGGACTCAGAAAAACCACCAGGATCTGGATGAGCTGCAGTGACGGAGCTTTAAAAACCACTGATGGGGAACAGATTTTCTCTGAGAAACCAGGAGGAAAACAGTTTCTGAGGAGGAAATAAAACTGCAGGGACGGCTCACTGACGCCAACCGACACCAACCGACAGCAACCGACACCAACCGACACCAACTGACAGCAACCGTCGTCGTCATCGTCGTGTTTTCACCGATGACTCCGCTCACAGCTGCCTCTGCCTCGGCTCATCCTGCCATCTCTTCTCCTCGTGACATTTAACGGCCAGCGATGACATCACACTCGGCTCCGGCTGTACGCTCTGATCTAATCACCTTCACAACGAGAGCCGTTTACTCAATAACACGGACAGAGCTGCGTGGTGGGAACGGGGTTAATAGCTGCAGCGGCGGAGGGAAATCAATCTGGAGCAGGAATAAATGTTTGGAGGATTCTCCCATGGAAAAACACCGGATAAATAAACACAGGGGTCGGAGTTGAACCAGCGACCACTGGGTCGTCAGATCACCTGACCGAGGTTTAGTCTGGTTATACTAGTTAATTATGGACGAGTGTTGATAAGATCAGCGGCTAAAACGTTTTGTCAACGTCAAAGTTCTGAACGCTAACTTCCTTGGTGACGTTTTTGGACTTTGAACAAAGTCGTCAGTCGAACCCGCAATCAAGATCGTTAAGAAATGACTGAGTAACGATTCCAAGAAATTGGAACATCGGGAACTCGTTCTGGTTTTAATTTGTCACAGTGTGTCCATCCTTTGAAGTCAGGCTTTTTTTTTAATGTTTACTCAAAAATAACAATCGTACAAACATCAACATCACAAAATGAGAAATTACAACCGGAAAAAAAAATTAATTTGAGATGATGAATGTTTCTCTTTATGCCGATGATCCAAAGTAACAACACATAGTGTATAAGTGTATAAAGTGTAAAAGTCAGAGGTCAAAGGTCAATTCTACTCTTGAAGAAGGATGTCCCACAGACAATAAATATTTCAGTACTCACTAATAAGTACTAACTAAAACTACAGCCTAAATGTCGGCCGTGTGAAAAGGTAATGCTAACGTGTGCGCCGTAATTACAGCGACTAAAGTCAATAACCAGACGGCCGTTACACTCGGCCCTCGGACTCCGGGGAGGTTCATGGTTCCCTGGAGTTTCCTCCGTCAGCAGACTGCGAGGCTCGGAGTCACGTGATCAACATTCAGGACTCAGTGGCTACGCTAACACCCTCAGAACAACTGAAGCGGCGGTGGCACAGACACGGTGCCGTACCTCCTACATAACGAGATGACACATCTCACCGTGCGGTGACTCATCGGCAGAGAAAACTCTAGCATCAGCAGCTTACGAGGAGAACGGAACACAAACCCCGGACGATCTGACGAATCAGTCACACGTTTGATGGTTTCTGTAAATGTCGTACAGTCGCTCTGCGCCTGAGTGTTTCTGTGAGAGTGACTCAGATCAACTGTACGGTTTAAGGACTGTCTAAAGGTGAGGAGGCTAAACTGGAGGTGCCAGGATGGAAGGGAGTCCATGTGGGGGGAAGAAGAAGAAGAAGAAGAAGAAGAAGAAGAAGAAGAAGAAGAAGAAAAGCTACGGCGGAAACGTTTGGAGAAAGTTTGGAGAAGCTAAACCACCTTCAGCTAACACTTAAAATTAACAAGCTAACGTTAAGAGGCGGCTCAGGTAAACCTGAACTACACCTTTGTTATTACCTTCTTAAGGCCTAGACCGCTGGGGGAACTCCCATTTTACCCCAGTAGTAAAGGCTAAGGTAAAAAAAAAGACATTGTTCAAATTTTAGAAGGAAATTTAATCTAATGATCTGTTTTTTAAAGTGAACAAATACGGACTGAAACTTTAATCTGTCCACCTGCGTCCACATCGTATGTTGACCAGTTTGACCCAGTTTGTCCTCTCTGTCCTGTTTGACGTCTACAAACGTGTAACACAGCAGACGATGTGACACTTTTATCTATTGATCATAAAACTTCACGTCCTCAGAGACGGAACATCTGCTGTTGCTGATTGGACGACGGCTGGTTCTGCCCCTGCCACAGCCGGGGGTCTGTTAGTTAGCTGGTTAGTTGCTCCTGCTGCACAGACTAACGGAGGTGACAGACAGGAAGTTTGGAGGGTCATTTAGTTGAGCTGCAGTGTCAGAGCAGGGAGAAGGACAGCGGTGGCGGCGGCGGCGGCGGCGGCAGCTAACGGAGGGCATGTGTGCCACAGTGACACCTGGTGCTCCAGATGACAGCTCCAGGTCCAGATGGGCCTCGTTATACACACAAATAAACTCCGATGTGCCCTCGCACTTACATTTAATGGAGTACATATATTTACAATTACTGCCACTGTGTGTCAAAACACGGCATTACATTTGACTTCAATTAAAATTCACATCCATGAACGCACAAACAAACAGCCAATCAGAGCCTCGGCTGCTGTGAGTGGACAAAAAACAATTGTACGTGTTTGTTAATGAATGTTTGAAGTTGAAGTAAGATTTGTGATTTAATGCCGGGTTATTAATCATTTAGCTATTTTTTTAGTTTGTTTACATTTCAGCTAGCTCGTGGCTACGCTAACTCACATTTCTGGCATTTCTAAAATTATTTTTTAATTTGGCAGCAGCTAACTTTTATCCAACCCCCCAGTGAACCGTTTTAGCTCACTTCTAGCGACTCTGAGTTGGCTAATTTTAGCCATATTTTTGCTGTAGTCCAGACAGAGTTGGTGAAGTCCTGACTTTTTCTGTGGACGTCAAAAGTCAGAGTTTGAGAAGCAAATATTTTTTTAAGGTTGAAAATGTTCGTTGAGGCTCTGCTAATTTCTGACCCCAGTTGCGGTCAGCCATGTTGTGTCCAGATTAGATGACAAGTCATTTAGTGTGGAACGCACCCTGATCATGTGACCGTGAAGGTCACCATGCACCCCCCCTCCACCCCCCCCCTCCACCGTCTCTTACCTCCAGCGCAGCAGAGGGCTTCTTCTTCAGTTCCTCACATTTGCGAAACTTGCAGATCTGGTGGCCCGTTTTGCGATTCCGGCAGCTGCTGCACTGCTCGCAGTTAATCCGCCGTCGGCAAGGTGGGCACATGCCGCAACGTTTTCGCTTCTTTTTACCGGAGTTGATAGCGGAGGCCAGCTCGCTCTGCGCCGGGTACTCGGCCAGACTGGCCATGTGCAGCGCGCTGTCTGCCAGAAAGACTCCAGCCGGCGTCATGATGAAAAGCCCTGGGTTGAAGGGGAAGCCGCCTCCTACTCCATATGGGAAGTCAACCGGACCTCCTACGGCGTCCGTGACAGACGTACCCTCCAAGTCGCCTGCCCCCGAGCCCGCGTCTCCACTGCCAACTCCCACTCCCATGCCCCCCGGCAGAAGCATGTGCTCCATCCCGGCCCGCTTTAACAGCGCTGCTGCCTGGGCAAAGTGCAGCAGGCCGTTCTGTCCCTCCAGAACCTGTTCCAGGGTTCTGTCCAACTTGGCCGCCGTCAGTGCAGAGACGGTGGGCTGGGGCGGCAGGGGAGGCTGGGGCTTGGACGAGTGGCTCTTACTCTCGCTTTTGTCCGTGTGTCCGTTGGTGGAGGCGGAGGAGACCGCCGTGTACTGGGACAGGGTACGGGAGTTCTTAAGGCTCTTACTGAGGGGCTCGCTGATGATCCCGCTGCGGTTCCTGCGCTCGGCCACCGGGGAGTCCGGTTTGCAGCTCTTCCGCTGCAGGTCCTCGGTCCGGCCCCCCTCCGTCAGCGCGGTCGACATGTTCCAGAGCGTAGGCGCCTGGGTCGGGAGTAAGGGTGGAGAGGGGGCGGGGGTGAGTGAGGAGGGGAAGCAGAGGTCTTGACTGGGTCCGTTCTGTGGCCCGGTGGGAGTGGTACCTCACGACCGATGGACAACAGGCAGGCCCCCGAGCCTTCAGCCCGCTTCAGAACTCAACAGACTTCATCCACGTTCTTCCATGGGTCGTCTGGGAACTTTACACAAGGGAGAAAAGACAAGTGGTTACATTTCCATCTATGACCAACCCTGACACAGCAGAGTTCACAACCTTCAAACCGTTTATAAATGTGTCGGTTGATGTTTTATTAAATGAAAAAATAAAAATAAATTATAGGATAAAAAAAAACGTTGCTCTGGTTGAACATTTGAACAGTGTTTTATTTCAGCGCAGGCACAGAGGCATTAAACTCCAGAGATGAACGGGGTTGGAGCAGAACTTATGTAAACTATCTGATCAGGAATAGATCAATTGGTGACAACGCTGGTACTGATTTGGTTGATTCCCAGTGATTTGGTTGTAGAGTCCCTCCCCCCCCCC